ATTATGGTTATATCATCTTGTTCAATTAATTATTTAATCATTATATAATGTCCTTCCTTCTCTCTTATGGTGGTTTTTGTCTTAACGTCAATTTGATCAGAAATATTGCCACTCCTGCTCTTTTTTGGTTGCCATTTGCTTGACATATCTTTCTCCAACCAACCTTTGATTTTTAGTCTATTTTTGTCTTTCTCTCTAAAGTGTGTCTTTTGTAGACAGAATATTAATGGGTTATGTTTTCTTATCCAGTCTGCAACTCTCCATCTCTTGAGCGGTGCATATAATCCATTGACATTCAGGGTAACTGTTGACAAGTATGAATTGGTTGCTGTCATTTTGTTATGTGTTTTTTCATGGTATTCTTGGTTTCATTGTTCCATATAATTTTCTGTGCTGAGGTCATTATATTTATGAATTGCATTATCATTTCCTTTGCTGCTTTTCTCTTAGTATTTTCTAAATATTTGTGCTTGTGCTCTTTTTATTGTGATATAAAGGTTTATCATTCTTTTTTTCTGTGAGGTTACCTTGTGATATATCATTTTCACCCCAAGTTTAGAACAGTTCATTCTATCTTGCAACTCTCTTGACTTGCTCACCATTTGGAAGTTTTGCAACTACACTATATTTTCTCTTTTTGGTTTGTAGTTGTCCTCATTTGACAATTGATGTCTCTGATTCCCTGTTTACAATCTTGTACACTTATTTAACTTTGGACACCTCCATAGCTGTGTTGTTTTTTGGGTCATGTCATCTTGTGTATTAATGGTCAGTTGTTGTTTGCTGTTATCGTTCAAAGGACTTCCTTTGGTATCTCTTACAAGGTTGGTCTAGTTTAAAAAAATTCCCGTAATTTCTGCTTATCTGGAAATCTCCTAATTTCACCACCATATTTGAGGGACACTTTTGCTGGGTATATAATTCTTGGTTGGAAATTTTTCTTTTTCAGGGTTTTATATATACCATCCAACTGCCTTCTCATTTGCATTGTTTCTGCTGAGAAATCAGAGCTTACTTTTATTGTTTGTCCTTTGTAGGTAACTTTTCAATTTTCCTGTGCTGCTTTCAGGATTTTTTCTTTGTCGTTGGTTTCAGTGAGTTTGATAATGATATGTCTTGGTGATTTTCTTTTGGGGTCTAACTTGTTTGGGGTTCATTGGATTTGCTAAATAGATATATTCTCATCTTTCATTATATCAGAGAAGTTGTCTTCCAAAAAATCTTGGGCAATTTTCTCAATGGTTTTATTTTTCTCTTTCTGTGTTGGAATTGCAATAACACATAGGTTATTCCTTTTGATGGTATCCCACATGAGCCTTAGGCTTTCTTCATGTTGTTTTCATCTTTTTTTCTGATTGATCCCTTTCCAAAGAAGTATTCAGGTATTTGTCTTCAATCTCATTAATTCAGTCTTCATTGATTTGATTCCACTCCTTTGCCCTTTCAATGTGTTATCTATTTTTGAATATTTATAATACTCTGGATTTCTATCTGCAGATTTGCAGATTTTTTATCATTTCTAACTTTCCACTTATTTTGTCATTTTGTTCTTGTGTTTTCTTCCAAAAATTTTCTAGGGTTTAGTCTGTGTTTTCCTTAATTTTGTCAGTGTATTCCTTGATCGCTCTCTCATTCCTTTGAAGGTACCTAAATATAATTATTTTCAATTCCGTATAAGGGAGTTCCAATACTGCTATTTCTTCAGCAATATTTTCTGGGTCTGTATCCTGCTCCCTTGTTTCTACCACTTTATCTTGCTTCTTTGTGTGGACAGTGATGGTCTGTTGTCTCCCAGACATTGTGATATTGTTGTATTTAGAGCTCTGGTAACTATTTGTGAAGAGCATTTGATGAGTCAGGCTCTTCTTGGTGGTCATTTATTGTTGGCCAGTTGGTGAAGGAAGTGGTGACTCTCACTCAGTAAGTGGAGCTTCAGGAGGTGCAGGTGTGGTTGCATCTTGTGGACATGGTTGCTATCTCCCACTCAGACAAAAACATCAAAAACGTAAAGACAAGTGGATAAAAAAAAAAAAAAAAAACACCACATAAACACATAGGAACAATCACCAAAAAAAGAAAAGAAAACAAAAAAACACCATAATATCCGGGAAGGGGGCAATAAGAGAAAATAGTGGAGTAGGAGAATAAAGCAAACAAACAAACAACAACAACAACAACAAAACCTCACTGCCATCGATTTGGATCTGACTCATAGTGACCCTTCCGTGGGTTTCCAAGGCACTATCACTATGGAAGTAGACAGCCCAACCTTCCTTCTGAGGAGTGACTGGTGGGTTTGAACCACAAGCCTTCTGGTTAGCAGTCAAATGCCTTAACCACTAGAGCAAGAGAATAATGAAGGAAAAAAATGGGAAAAATGCAAAAGGAAAAACAAGAGTGGGGTTAACAGTGAGAAAGAAAAAAAGGGGAACCAGGAACAGGGAAGAGAGAAAAAGCTGAAAACTCGAACCTGGGAAGGGAAGAATAAAGAATAATAACAAAAAGGACAAACAAAAAAATAGTAGTAATGTCAAAACACACAAAAACAAAGAAAGGAAAAATAAAAATCTGGGCAGGGCTGGGCAGAGCACCCTGACTCTGTAGGTGCACACAGACTTTGATGAATTCCTGCCAGCCCAAAGTTGTGTGGGAGTGAGTGATGGCTACACCCCCATTCACCAAGAGGGTGTGGGGTATAAGAGTAACAAGAGGAATATTGCACCTTTCCAGTCATTCATGTCCCAAATGTCCTTGCCGTTCCTGGCAAGTGGAGCCTATTCTTAGGTCCCTGGAATCTGAGAGAACGCTGTCACTTTAAATATCCAAAATGGTCAAACCACTTGTAAACATTCAAAATGGCTGCACCCTCCAAACAGCCAAAAGTCCACAGCTCAGCCCATCTCCCTCTTCAGCTGCTTCCCCTTTTATTCACCAGCCACCAGTGCAGTACTATATGCAGCCCCTGGCTAACAGGCAGATTTTTAGGTTAATTCTTAGGTCCTAACACCACTTGGCAATATCCAAACTGTCCATGCCTTCAGTATCGCTGACAGCCCACAGCTCTGTATGTCTCCTTTTTTGGTGTTTTTGTGTAGGTTCTTCTACTAGTTGGAGTTTAGTCCAGTTCTGTATCCTTCCTTTCAAAGCTCAGGACTCCAGGATTATCTTCTGTATCTATATTAATTGGTTCCCAATTTCTTTGTTGAAGAGGGTCTGTGTAGTTTGTCTGCTTAATCTGCCATCTTACTGGAAGCCTTTTCCCACATTTTTAACTACTCTATGTCCTAGAGCAAGGTTCTGACATCCATTTTGGTCTTTTCTTTCTTTCCTATCTTTTCAATGACCCTTTTCTTTCTTCAGTATGACTTCCTTGATGTCCTCTCACAGCTCATCTACTCTTTGGTCATTGATGTTCAAAGCAACAATCTATTCTTAAAATGGGCTCTAATTTCAGGTGGAATATACTCAAGATCATATTTTGGCTCTCCTGGACTTATTTAAATGTTTTTCAGCTTAAAGTTGAACTTGCATATGAGCAATTGATGGTCTGCTCTACAATCAGCTACTGGCCTTATTCTGACTGCTGATATTGAGTTTCTCTTTCCACTGATGTAGTCAATTTGATTCCCGTGTATTCCACAGGTGAGTCCACATGTATAGTTACCATTTATGTTGTTGAAAAAAAAGTGTTTTGCAATGAATAAGTCATTGGTCTTGCAAAATTCTATCATGTGATCTCTGACATCATTTCTATTACCAAGGCTGTATTTTCCAATTACCAATCCTTCTCTTTTGTTTCCAACTTCCACATTCCAATCACCAGCAATTATTAATTCATCTTGATTGCATGTTTGATCAATTTCAGACTACAGAAGTTGGTAAAAATCTTCAATTTCTTCATCATCAGCTTTAGTGATTGGTGTGTAAATTTGAATAATAATCATATTAACTGGTCTGCCCTATATGCATATGTATATTATACATCACAGATACTATTGTACTTTGGGATAGATCTTGAAAAGTTCTTTTTGATGATGAATCCAATGTCATTTCTTTTTGATTTGTCATTTCCAGCATAGTAGACCATATGATTTTCCAATGAAAAATGGACATTACCAGTCCATTTCAGCTAACTTAATGTCTATAATATCAATCCTTATGCATTCCATTTCATTTTCCTCAAATTCCAATTTTCCTAGATTAATGAAGATGAAAGACTTAACAACATATGTAAAGATATACCTTTGTTCTAAATGAAGAAATGCAATTTCATCACCAAATAATTTGTCATTTAAGAGATGAACAAAGACCCAAAACTTTAACAGTATAAAATACTGGCTATATTTCTAAGAATTTGTCCTAAAGAATACTCACATGTATGCACAAGAATATGAAAAGGGACAATTTCTGTTCATAATAGCAAAGACTTGCAACTATTTAATGAAACTAAGGTATTGAGTCATATAATTAATAACAACAACAACAACAAAAAATACTGCTGTCAAGTGGGATCCGATTCATAGCAACCCCTCCTTGGTTTTCTGAGGTGGTATCACTATGGAAGTAGATTTCCCAATCTTTCTTCTGAGGGGTGGATGGTGGGTTTGAACCGCCAGACTTCTGGTTAGCAGTCAAATGCCTTAGGTACTATGCCACCAGCTAGAGCTATACATGTTAAGAATACATTTGAAAATTTTATCTTATATAGGAAAGAATGGGAGGTATAATGGTGAGTTAAGTACAAGAAAACTTTTTCTGGAGGATTATTATATCACAAACTTAATAGTGGAAAGGAGCCACAGGAAGTCTAGGATAGGTGAAAGAGACTTACCCATTTTATACCCTTTTATGCTATTTGCCTTTTTTACTTTTAATAGTATTTAAGAATTAGGGGAAAAAAAATGTGCCCATTTAAAAAGAGAGAGAAGAAACCCACAGGTAGCAACGTAGAAATAAAAGATTACATAGATATAAAATTTTATAAGTACCAAAATATTTACCAAAAACTCCTGGAAGATTTCATAGGTTAACATTTTTCTCTGAAGGTTTTCAAAACAAGACTTGATGGTTGCTTGCTCATGAATATTGAATATTAATGGTCGAATATGAGCTAACTGAGCTAGCTCATATTCAGAAATAATCTGCATACCTAAGAAAGAGAAAGTCACATTTGCTAATTACTTGTATGCACATGAAGAGATTTTATTTATTTATTTATTTATTGTCTCTAAAATAAAGTCACAGGCATTTAAGAGTTAATGGAAATTATTTATTTATTTTTCCAGAGGTAGAGTCTATTACTTCAAAAGTGACTTTCTTGTTTGAGAAAAATCGTGACTATGTACCTTTGAATTACATAATACCCACTCTTCTTGGAGAAAACTGTGAAGTGCTATAAATAAATAAGATGCAGTAGATTGGGAAGTGTTCTATTTTGTAATGTGAACTGGGTGTATGTATTGACAATTATGCCAAGGCAAGAGTGAACAAGACTATCATTGTTGTTAGGTGCTGTCAAGTAGGTTCTGACTTACAATGACCCTAAGTAAAACAGAACCAAACAATGCCCAGTCCTACGCTATCCTCGCAATATTTGCTATTCTTCAGCCTATCGTCATAGCCATTGTCAGTCCATCTCATTGACAGTCTTCCCCTTTTTCACTGATCTTCTACCTTACCAAGCATGATATCCTTCTCCAAGGACTAGTCCCTTCTGACAATGTGACAAAAGTAGGTGCAGTGTAGTAAATTACTTAGTATGGCTTTTCTGCCCATAAGTCATTGTAAACTCAGTGGTGGAATGAGTAACTGAGGAGCTCCTGATTGTAAATCTTATCCACCTGGGTTATTTCTGTTGGGCGTGGCATGACCCAGTGTTATGGGAGGCTCACTCTCAGGTGCTTAGAATTCTGTTGTTATGATTGGTTGGTTTGGCCACTCTGCCAAGCTCAAAAGGAGGCCTCCTAGAGGCAGAACTCTCTCTGACTGCTGGTTGAGGAAGACATGCTGCTGAAAGAGTCATGTGCTACTGAAAGAGACATGTGCTGCCGGGAAAGAGACACAAGAGACACACGTTTCTGAGTAAGACACCGAGGGACATGCACTGCTGGGGAAGAGACTGTGAGAGACTTGGCTAAGAGACGGTGGGCTGGGCGAGAGACTGAGCATTTTTCCTGAACTTGAATTGTAGCCTGGTGCTTCCCTAATAAACTCCATAATCTGTGAGTTCTGTGTGGCCACTGCAGTGAATTCTAGAACCCAGGAGAGAGGTGGTGGGTGCTTTGGGAGGAAAGGTTGGAAAAAGGGCTGAAGGGAGGCAGCATGTCTGGCCTGGCAGGAATAGGCCTTGGGCTATTGATGGTAATTCTGTCTTCCTATTGTAGGATTAGAGGAGGTCAGAACATGTGGCCTCCTTGCCCTTTTTGCAGTAGGTGAGACAAATTCTGGCCATTCTCATTTCTAAAGAGCATCCCACCTATGCTTCTTCCAAGACAGATTTGTTCCTTTCTCTGGCAGTCCATGGAATTTTCAGTATTCTTCACCAACACCAAAAATCAAATGTATCAATTCTCTGGTCTTGCTTATTCTAGAGGATTATATCCCAAACTTAATAGTGGAAAGGAGTCACAGAAAGTCTAGGGTAAGTGAGAGAGACTTCTTTTTTTAAATGCTATTTGTCTCTCTCTCTTTTTTTTTAAATACCACTTAAGAATTAGAAAAACAACAATGTACCCATTAAAAAAGAGAGAGAGAGAAGAAAACCACAGGCAGCAATGTGGATAAAAAAGCTTTCACATGCATATGAAAAATCAAACCCAAATTCACTGCCATCAAGTTTGATCCAGACTCATAGCGACACCTCCTTGGGTTTCCAAGGCTGTATCACTATGGAAGTAGATTACCCATTCATATGAGGCAACTGTAAATACCCAAGGTCAGGCCTATATTAATCTTCAAGGTGACACCTTTGCTCTTTTACACCTTAAAGAGGTCTTTTGCAGTAGATTTGCCCAGGGCAATAACTGGTCTGATTTCTTGACTGCTGCTTCCATGAGTTTTGATTATGCATTCAAATGAAATGAAATCCCTGACAACTTCAATCTTTCCTCCATTTAAAACTATATTGCTCATTGGTCCAGATGTGAGGATTTTTGTTTTCTTTATGTTCAGGTGAATGCATACTGAAGGCTGTAGTCTTTGATCTTCATCAGCAAGTGCTTCAAGTCTTCCTCACTTTCAGCAGGAAACATGATCTGCATATTGCAGAGTGTTAATGAATCCTCCTCCAACTGTGATGCTGCATTCTTCTACATATAGTCCAGTTTCTTAGATTATTCAAGCATACAGCTTGAATAAGCATGACCAAAGGATACAATTTTGATGCACACCTTTCCTGATTTTAAACCCCTTATTCTGTCCAAACAACTATCTTTTGGTCTATGTACAGGTTCCTCATGAGCACAATTAAGTGTTCTGGGATTCCTGTTCTTCCTGATCTTATCCATAATTTGTTATGACCCATACAGCTAAATAGCTTTGCATAGTCAATAAAACACAGGTAAACATCTTTCTGGTTTTGCTTCCAGGCAAGATCCATCTGATGTCACCAACGATATCCCTCATTGTAGTAGTGCCCTGCCAATATGTGCTAGACCCATTTTTTAATTACCCTCAGCAAAACATTACTTGTGTGCAGTATTGATATTAATTAACAATTTCCACATTCTGTTGGATCAACATTCGTTGGAATGGGCACAAATATAGATTTTTTCCAATCAGTTGGTCAGGTCCCTGTCTTCCAAATTTTTTGTGATAGATGAGCAAGTGCTTCCAGCATTGTATCTATTTGTAAACATCTCAATTGGTATTCCATCAATTCCTGAATCCTTGTTTTTCACCAATACTTTCAGTGAAACTTGGATTTCTTCCTTCAATATCATCAGTTCTTAATCATATGGTGCCTCTTAAAATGGCTGAACATCAACCAATTCTTTTTGGTACAGTGACTCTGTATATTTCTTCCATCTTCTTTGGATGCTGCCTGGGTCTTTCATATTTTATTTCAATGTTGCAACTCAAGGCTTGAATTTTTTCTTCAGTTTTTTCATCTTGAGAAATACCAAGAGTATTCTTCCCTTCTGGCTTTCTAATTTCAGGTATTTGCACATCTTATTATAAGACTTTACCATCTCAACTCACTGCTGTCAAGTCGGATCCAACTCATAGCGATCCTTTCTTGGGTTTCCGAGGCAGTATTACCACAGAAGTAGATTGCCCCATCTTCCTTCTGAGGGGTGGCTGGTGGGTTTGAACTGCCAGCCCTCTGGTTAGCAGTCAAGTGCCTTTACCATAGCAACATCAAAAACTCAAACCCAGCTCAAGTCCTTACTAGATTGACTCAACTCCTCACTCACTGTAAGAGGCTACCAAAGGAAGAAACATTTCCATTCCTATCAACCTCAATATTTAGAACACAAGATATTCAGCTTCAACAAAAATTTATAAAGCAAACAAGCAAGCAAAACAAAACATTAACTACCAAGGGACAAAGCATTCAAAACAACCAGGCAGCATTATGACACAAATGCTAAAACTATTAGATGATGTTGTTGTTGTTGTTGTTGTTATTTGCCATCGAGTCGGCCCCGACTCATAGAGACCCCTCCTTGGGTTTCCGAGGCAGTATCACTACGGAAGTAGGATTGCCCAACCTTCCTTCCGAGGAGTGGCTGGTGGTTTGAACCGCCAGCCTTCTGGTTAGCAGTCAAGTGCCTTAGGCACTATGCTACCAGAGCTCCCTATTAGATGACAGATTTTTAAAAATAAATATGTTAAAAGTAGACAACATGCATAACCGAATCAATAATTTCATCAGAAGGACAAAAATTATAAGAAGCAAATGGAAATGCTAAAAATAACAAATACTTCAAAAGAAATGAAGAATCTCAGGCTCATGAGTAGTCTTCACATAAGCAAAAAAGGAATCAGTAAACTTAAAAACTGGTCAATAGAAATTATGCAATTGGAAACACTAAGAAAAAAGAGTGTGTGCCAGGGGGTGGGGGTGGACAGAAGGAATTATCCAAGAGCTGTACACCAATATCAAACAGACTAATATGTCTATAATTGGAATTCCAAAAATGGAAGAGAGTGATGAACGTCATCAAGCCTCAGATCCAAAGCCTCATCAGAAACAATACAAGCCAGAGGATAACGAATGACATCTTTTAGGTAATCAAAAGAAAAAAAAATTGTCAACCCGGAGCTTGATAACCAATAAAAGTATCTTTATAAAACATGAGAAATAAAAGCTTTTACAGACAAAAATTGAGAGAATTCACTAAAAGCAACTTATTAGAAATGTTCAAGATCTCAGGAATTATGGGAATGTATTATAAAGCAGGAAAGTGGACTTACACAAAGAAAAAAGAATTCTAAAAATGCCATAAATATAGTTCAACACATTTTTTTCCCCTTAATTTTTAAGTCCCTGGAGAATAACTAGATGTGGTAATTAAGGCTGTTGTCAACTTGGCTGGGCCTGGTTGAGTAGCTGGGCAGCTGGTGGTAGTTAATCCCCATGATGAGACTGGCAATCTACTCCATGGTGGGATCTACCACAAGCAGCTGAATAGCTGCTTTAGGGATGTGGTCTGCTTCCCGTATGTAAGCAGCAGCTTTGGAAATGGTTTCTAGCTTATTGGCATGCTTGAACCCTGCATGTGGATGAGTTGTTGTTCAGCAGACTGCCATGCTCTGCCAGTCTTGGGACTTTCAATGGACTTGAAGTAATGGTCTGCCGTGTGGTTTGGTAACATCGGGACTGTGACTTTTTATTTGTTGATCTTGGGCTTATTAGCCTCAGCAGCCAGTAGCTGCCTGAATGAAGAGATGCCTCTAGCTTCTGTGGGCTGGAAGCAAGAGGCAGAACTGAAGCCCAAGGTCGAGAGGCTTTCACACAGCCCCTAACTAACCAAACCATACTCACTGCCGTGGAGTTGGATCCAACTCATAGTGACCCCTCCTTGGGTTTCTGAAGCAGTATCGCTATAGAAGTAAATTACCCACCCTTCCTTCTGAGGAGTGGCTGGTGGGTTTGAACTGCCAGCCTTCTGGTTAGCAGTCAAATGCCTTAGGCACTACACCACC